ATATATATATATAAGCCCTTTTGTTTTCTGTGTTATTCTCTCACTCATTATAAAAAATTATATTGTCATTTTTCATTTATCAATTAAATTATCAATTAATTTTATCAAACACTTATAATTCAACCAACTAACTTATAAATTAATTTTACTAAATACTCTAATTAACTTATAAATAAATTGTAATTTTTTAAAAGATATTATCCCACTAAATAATTTATTTTAATTAAACTAGCTTATAAGTAAATTAAATAAGTTTATAAACTCTTCAAATTAATATATGATGAAAGACATTCAAAAACTCATACAGTTTATACATGAATTAAGAATGTTTTTTCTTCTAATTCTATATGTAAGTTCCATGCAAATTGAATATGGCTAAACGAATTGATTGTTATTATAAGAATATTATATAATTGTGAAACTGAAATCTTCTATTACAAGAAATATATATGTTTTATTCTGCAACTAAAAACTCATACAGTTTATAGAATAATAACTTGCTTGGGTGTGTACATACATATGGATGTCAAAAATATTCGCACTTGCGAATATTTGCGAGTAAAATATGTTATGGATAATAAATAGATAGGCTAATTGGATACTCGCGGATAATGAGAACGGATAATTTTTTACCCGTTTATAAACGGGACGGGGCAGGTATTATGATATTCATACCCGCAGGTACCCGTTTAATAATATTTCTTAAATATTCTAATTATCTTTGTATCACATAACCCTAAAACTACACTTTCTCATCTTATTTTCTTACAAAAGTGAGGTTGATGAAGTTGTCAACATGTGTTAAGCATGTTATAGAATTATGTTGGATGTAATTTGATTAATTTTCTAGCTTTGATTGGACCAATAAGATTTATGTATTTTAAGTTGTTTACTTTTGTTTGGAATTATGAGATTGAATTATTGTAGCTTTGTGGTGAAACTCTAACTTACTTGTGAGATTAATGTATTTTAAGTTATTGATTATCTTGCATTTTTATTATTATTTCAACAAAATTAATATTAAATACAAGTTCAAAATTAACATTAAATTTTTATTTTTAATATTTCAATGACATTAAATATAAACTTAAAATTATTTATAATATAATTTTTTTAATTTCTTAAAAAATTTATAAATATCCATGAATATTCGTGGGTATTTAAGAAATTCATGAATACTTATTTAATGGATACCTGCACAAATATGAAATGGGTATAGGACCAATTTTCATTCAGTAGGACGGAGACAGATTTACTATTACCTGTCCTCAGGAGCCCCATTGTCATCCTTATACATATCTAACATTAATCAATCGTAATAATACAATTTTTTGAAGTTGTTCAGCTTCTGGGTTATATTATTCAACAATTCCCATGTTTTAAAAGAAATTAGTCTAATTTTGAACTGAAAAATATTCATAATACAATGTTATTGGATTTTACTAATTTCACTGTGAAAATAAAGTTACACTTTAATTGACTAATTTGTTGGTTTCAGTATTTAATTATTTTGGTACACAATGTTAGAATAATGATGCTTTTCTCCCGAATTGCTCACTTTCTAAGTTGTAGCACTTAAGTATCCTTTCATCTAATATTATAGTTATTTTTTCTTATTACACACTATAATAAATATTATATTAATACAAAAATTTATTATACATATATTTGATATATAATTATACATAATTTTAATATTAATTTTAAATTATATTTAACATATTTTATATATAATTATAATTTATATTCATACTTTTGAATAATAT